TACTTTGGCCACCTGATGCAAAGAGCTGACTCATTGGAAAAGACCCTGATGCTGGGAAAGATTGAAGGCAGGCGGAGAAGGGGACGACAGAGGATGAGATAGTTAGATGGCATCACTGACTCAATGGACATGGGTTTGGGTGGACTCCGAGAGTTGGTGATGGACATCCGGGAGGCCTGGCGTGCTGTGGTCCATCCAGTCACAGAGGTCATACACCACTGACTGACTGAACTGACCTGAACCCACTCTAGTATTCTGGCCTGGAGAATTCCATGGACTGTATAGTCCATGGGGTCACAAAGAGTAGAACACGGCTGAGAGACTTTCACTTCAATACCAGGACAGTGTTTCTAGATTATGAACCAGGAAGGAGGAATCTGGGCAGATCCCAGTGATACCCTGACTTGAGGAGACAGAGCTGAGAGTCCAGAAGTATAAGGCAGCCACAGTTTTCAACTCAAAGTTCTAAAGGAGAGACTAGACAGACCTGCAACTATTTGCTGAGGGTCCCCCTGGAGTCTTCAGCTAAGTAATGATCTGTGCATGAATGTGAAGAAACTGTTCAAAGTTGGGCAAAGAATTACATGAAAGGATTATAAGGGATTTCTTTACACAGGGCTAGGGCTAGTTCCCAGAGGAGGCAATGGCATTCCACTCCAGTACTCTTGCCTGGAAAATCCCACGGATGGAGGAGCCTGGTGGGCTGCAGTCCATGGGGTCGCTAAGAGTCTGACATGATTGAGCGACTTCCCTTTCACTTTTCACTTTCATGCATTGGAGAAGGAAATGGCAACCCCCTCCAGTGTTCTTGCCTGGAGAATCCCAGGGACCGGGGAGCCTGGTGGGCTGTTGTCTGTGGGGTCACACAGAGTCAGACATGACTGAAGCGACTTAGCAGCAGGGCTAGTTTCAGTTTTCAGTATCTAAGATAGAAGCCTAAATCATAAGCATCAGGCCAAATACAGACGGTTTTGCCTCAGTACTGGAAAAAAAAATTAGCCCTAGAATAAACACGGTCATGGTCTTTCCCAAGGAGGTTTAAAACCAAGATTCATATAATAAAACTATTTGCAAGTAATTAACTGCCTTCCAAAACAAAATGCAAGAATATTTAAAGGAATACAAAAGTTTTCAGCCACCAGTATGGTAAAGCAACAGTGTCTAGCATCCAGTCAGAAATTTCTCAGCATACAAAGAAATAGTAAAATACAACAATAAAGAGAATAAATACAAGCAAAAGTGAAAATGACACTGAAGACAGAATTAGTGAACAACAGTATTAAAATAATTATTGTTACCTCATGCCATGTGTTTAAACTGTTAAAGGCATCATGGGAAACCTGCAACTAACATCATACTTAATGGTAGAAAAGGAAGAGTGAACATTTTACACCTTTGATCAAAAGGAAGACAAGACTATGTACTCAAAAATCAATAGTTAATGTGGTGTAGAGTCCAGTAATAGACTCACATACATGGTCAGTGAATTTTTGACAAATGTATAAATAATTTGCAAAGTATACTTTATTCAACACACGAAACTGACTATTGAATATCCAAATGTGAAATAACAACCTGTATCCATACCTCACACTTGGTCCAAAGTTTAATTCAAGATGGATAGACATAGAAAACAAAATCTGTGTCATTGGACTAAGCACAGACACTTAAATGCAACACCAAAATCATGATTCATAAATAGAAAGATGTTACCTTGAATTTTGTCAACATTAAGAACTTTTGATCTTCCAAAGACACTGTAAGGGAATCTCAGAATGGGAGAAAATATTTATACAATACATATTCCTCAAAAGACTTCTATCAACAATATATAATACTTTTTTCTTTTTTTTTATCCGTGCCACATGACTTGCTGAATTTCAGTTCTCTGACCAGGGATTGAACCTAGACCACAGCAGTAAAGGCCTAAATCCTCAGTCACCAGGGAACTCCCTATAAATAACTCTTAAAACAATAAGAAATAACACAACCCAATAGAAAGTTGTTCTGACAGATACTTCACTGAAAATGTATCATGGTGAAAAGGCACATAAAAATAGACTCAACATCATTACTCTTTAGGGAACCACAACCTAAACCCACACTGATTGACAGAAATGTAAAATGATACAACTCACTTTGTAAAATAGTTTGCGACTTTTAAAAAATGAAACACCTAAAGTATGACCTAGCTAGTCCACTTTTAGGTATTTCCCCAAGAGAAATGATGGCATATACCCACAAAAAGACTTTGATATGAATATTTATACCAGCATTTTCATAATAGTCAAATTATGGAAACAAGTCAGGTGACCATCAACAAAGAATGGATAAAAAAAAGTATTAGAATACTTCTGAGAAATGAAAAGGAATGAAATATTGATGCATTGCAATAGCATGAAAGGATATCAAAACAGTTATGCTGAGAGAAATCAGACATAAAAAAGTTCACACTATATGATTTCTCTTAACATGGAATTACAGAAAATATAAGCTAAATGACAGTAAATGAGCAATTGCCTGGGCCCCAGGAGTTGGAAGGAAACGTTGGGGGTCATGAATATGAATATTGCATTGATTGTCGTGATGGGTTCACACATGTATGCCTTGCATACATATTGTCAAAATTTATCAAATTGAATACTTTATAAATATGTGTATTCATTCTATATCACTTATACCTCTAAATCTATATTTTTTAAGTTAAGTACTTCTCTTTCATAGTGAGAAGTTAGTAGGATAATATCTAAAATTGGAAAATTAAAACTTTGAAATGTTATCATGTAGGTCAGGAATATGACATTTAAATACCAAAAGAATCAGCTAAAAGTTTAGGACATGTTTTCCTAGAGAAATAACTTGAAAAGTGGGATGGAACTGACAAAAACAGACTTAGGTTTTTCATAAAAATTCCCTTAGAAGAATTTTCCTTTGAGGCTATGTGCATATATAACTTTGATAAAAATAGATGCTGTATTTAAAATTTTAATATAAAGTTCAAAGAAAAGAAATAGTTTAATCATTGGGCAGATCTATGCAGGCTCATTTATCTGTGTAATTAATTGACTAAAGTGAAAATCAGGGTGACTTTAATTTATTCAGATTAGGTATTAAATTTGGTTGAATTTTATTTGATAATTGAGTGTTTTTCACTTTGCTTAGCTATTAGAGAGCTATCAAAGTGGTAAAAACCCAAAATATTTATCCTGAAAAGCAGAACAAAATGATTCCCTTCTTTTTAAACTTGTTTTGTGAGGATTAATTAAGCTTCTGTATAGTTATTTTCTGTATTTTATTGATTCAGGATTACTTGTACTCTGTAAGTGTGTTAAATTATTTACACATCATGGGCAGCTAATGCTAATTCAGAACATACCCAGTGGGACCTCAGAGCCCTGAAATGCTAAATGTAATCTGGGGATCAGTAACATTCCATTCATAAAATGTGTCACCCACAGGTTAATGGAAATAAACAATAGGAAAGACAATGGGTGGATTATGCAAATATGCTGAAAAGATTTAAGCAGGAGGAGGGGACTACAAGAACCCAATCTGTGTTTTATTTAAACATGGATTAAGGTTTATGGTATACAAAATGACTAAAGCTACTTTCCTAATTTGCTAATACTCTAAAGAAAAGCACCAGTGGGGTGGGAGTGGGGGGCAGGGAACTCTATCAAAATAAATTGGTGATATTTTTTATGTATGGGTGGGGCAGAGGGTTAAGAGGTGCAGAGAGGCAAGATTAAATGAAGGAGAATTTTAACAGTAAATGAAATGATGCACAGTATTCTAAAGAGAAATGTGAGTGGCTAGATTTATGTGACATTTATTTGCACTTATCTGACACCAATGAAAGTTTCACAAAACTAAAACCTAGTCTGAATATAAATTCAACTACTGCTTTGTGAGGAATCAGTCTTTCCGTCTAAAATTTGGGTCCAGTAAAAGAACTTGAGCTTAAACTATGTGTGCTTTGGAGGGAAACCTCTTCAAATTACAGTGCAAAAAGTAATCATTCCCATGATAATTATGTCTTAGAAAATATGTCTAGGGAGTCCTTGGATAATGGCAGAAGACATGGCAATGAGTAAACTTTCCAAGTTATTAGTTTGAAGGTGTCTAGGTCAGAGCAAAATGGTACCAGCTGCCTCAAGCTCTGATCTTGGGGGCGAGAGTGGGGTGAGTGGAAGAGATCAGGGAGGGAGGCTTTGCTGAACCTAGCTGAACACGAGGCGCTCCTGCAGGAAGAAGTGGCTGACATTCTGTGCTCTCTAAGTGGAGAGTGACCCTAAGAGGGACCCCTTGTAAAAAGCAGTAAACCTGCCCCTACCGTGTGGCACCTGACTTATGAGGAGCCCAAGCACACTCCCAGTTCCGACCCTGATTTCAGAATATCCATGTGGCCTGCCCTCCCGTTATCCGTGTGTGTGAGGATTACATGAGACGAGAAATACTTTGGATAAATGACTTCTGGCCAAAGAGCTGCAAAAGGTGGGAGGGATGGCGTGGGCTGGGGGTACAGCAACACCAGCGGAGCCTGGCAAATATGAGGAAAGGTGGGGAGCCGGGACCTTGCTTCCCGCAGAAGTTAGATATGTGGTGTGGGTTTCCATCTTAAAATCACACATAAGTACACGAGGAAGTGGGGGAAATCATTTTATTTTATCACAGAGTTTGAGTAACAAAACATAGACAAGAAATTAGAAGGAAATGCATTTTAAGTTTCCCTTATAGGACCTTAGGGATTCTGCTTTGATTACCATATTTTTCAATGTACCTGTATCATTGAAACTTGAGAATCTTTTTCATCACAGTTTATACCTTTACTGTTTTAAGACATTTAAATCATGGGACTATATAAATTTCAGCAGTTAAAATTCCCTGCCTGGGTCGGTGCCCTTTTAACCAGGTTCTACTGTTGTCCAGTAATGCCAAGTAATCGAAAAGAAGTCTTGGGTATTACATGTTTGACTCTTTTGTTCCTCCTTTTTTTAAAGATACTGTTTTCCCTTTGGACGACCTGAGGGTGCGCTGAAAGCTACACTTTCATTACTTGAAAGGGTATGTTTGAACATGACTTTGTAAGTACTATTTGCATTCTCAATGGCTGTGTGGTTATTGAACTTGGCTGACGGTCCCATTCCTTAGGAGTGTGATATCCTCTAGGTTTGTTGCATTTCATCAGTTTCTCACTTTTCTTACTACGTTCAAATTCTTCTATATCTTCCTTTTCCTCTCCAAAACCTTTCTGAAGCCTGCACCACTGTCATCCTGAGTTTGTAGCATCCTTTTGGTAATATCCATTTTCCCCACCTCTTTGTTCCCCCTCAGGAAATAGTCATCTTTTATTTCAGTTTAATATAATCATCTGTTTCTCAGACTTTACAGTTGTGTTTTATTATCCCCCCTTATTTGTACTTCTCCCTGCCATATTCCTCATATCTGTAAGAGTTCTCGGCATTTAATATTCACACACATATCATTTCTTTCATTCTCAATTTGCCTCAAAATTTATTTCAATTCTATTTATGTGTTACTTTGAGTGAATTCACAAATAACAGAAGTGGATGATCATAGAAGTCATGAAATTATATAAGTGTATGAAAAGTAAACAGCAAATAAGGCTTTATGTCCATGTTAAAAATCATTATTAATGAAAGAATATTCTCCACTGCTGTTTCTGTGGTAGATTAGGTGAGAAAGGGAAATATCATTTCATCTAGTTATAAAACTATTCACATGCTAGTTGGAAACTAGCAGTTGAGTAATGTGGACAAGTTTTATTCCTTATCCATATTAAAAAGTATATTTAGCGATCATCTCTGTCTCATGATTTGATTATTCTGGTCTTGGTTTGTTGACTTCAAAGCACTTGTTCTTACTGATTTTTCTGCTCAAGGAATTCCAGGTAATGCATTATTTATTCGCACCTCTCTGAAAAGCAAAAAGGGGAGACAGTGTTCAGTGATTTAAGAATTTAGGAGAGGAGAGCTAGGACTGAGGACTGAAGTGAGATCTTTGGAATACAGATTAGTGTTATCTATCTGTCTCTGTCTTATCCTTGATCACTGTGAACTATGTGATAGAAATATTATTGTCAAAATTATTTTACTAGAATTTTTATGGTATTAAAAGCTGCCTGTAACTCAGACTTTTCATAGTTTTCATTTCCTCCTCTGCATTAAGGTATTGTTGATGAGACAGAAGTCTTTAAAGGCAGCTTTGGTTTTTGGAATGGCATCCCATCCTGGGTACCCAGCGCAGCCTGGCGGTGTGCTGGCTTCCATGGCAGAGCTTCTGTCCTTCCCCCAGCAGGGCAGAGTTAGTAATAGCAGAGATGCCCTCATGGCCTACACTGACAGGTGGCAGAATGAACAGTGACCTTCATTCCAGTTATAGTAACTGAACATGTCTCTTACTGAACTGAGGAAATGGTAAGGGCTATTCATTTTCATGTCTGTACTTACTGACATCTTAGAAAAATAAAATCTGCGTGTGAATTGTTGATCCTTACGATGCCTTGAATAAACATGGGGAGGAAGCATGAAACATAGGTTGTGCCTCCCTTTTGCACGTGCCAATCCTTTATTTGTACTTCTCCAGGAATGGGGATTCAGTTTCCCCACACATACTTCAGACAGTGTCCAGCTTCTAGATACTATGAAATACTGCCTGATTTTAACCCTAAATACAGACGTTCAAGTTTTAAAGCTGTTACTGTTATTTGAAAGTTTGGCACCATGGGGAAAGTCTAATAGTAAAATTAATCTTAAATTTTAGTAGTAATCACATTAAAAAGAATAGCGCCTGTTAATGCTTTAACTGTTGGCAGAAGGATTATTTTTTTCTGGCAATAGAGAGTCTAATGTACAGTTCTAGTTCAAGTGCCAAATATATGTCAGTGTGTTAAAGATTTTTAATATGAGAATATGAAGAAAGTTTAATTTGATAGGAGAGGAAAGTTTTAAGTGATAAAGTTTGCTGTTTTCAGAAGGAAACCTTGCCTGACAAGATGAAAACATGTTGTCAAGGATCACCAGTGCTAGAATAATTGAATGAATTTGAGATTATAAAATTCTTAGCGCCGAAGCTGGTCAAAATAGAATGAAATAATGAAGCATGAAATGGATGTCTTCATGTTCTTTTAATATTTTTTTTCAAAGTGAAAGACTGATAGAGTAAGAACACTTTAAAAAGTATTGTCTTCTTTATGTTAAGAATTTGCTATACCTGTATTTTTTAGAATTTGAATGGAAGCAAAGCAAGAAAAATCATATTACTTATAGGGAAGATAGAGGTTGACTAATTGTATAACTAAAACTTACTGTAAGCAGTTTTTTTATCACTAGGAAAGTTTTAAGGAAAACTGTCAATGAGTCATTATAAAAGTACTTAACTGAGTTATATGTTGAATTCTGGATATAATTGCATTTTCCATTTGCCAACAGTAATACTTGTAAATGGAAAATCCAAAAATATAATTTAGGAACCCATAATAATAATTTAGGAAAGTAATCAGTTTTTGGTTTTTTTGTTTAATTTCAGAAAGCTTCCTTTTGTTTTGACATTTGATAGTCCTTTCATTTCACTAAGACAAAGAAGTGCCCCCCCTCCGGCCCCCAGCAGATCAAAATAAAGTACAATTAGTGAAAGTAGAGGTCTTGATTTTTGTAGAGTCTGTAAATAATACTTATTTTAATGGAATTTGTGTTTTCATGTATATTGCTCCAAATATTTAAGGCTTTTAAATCAAGGATGTACAAGGTACCCTTTGTACAAAGACAAAAGTTTCATCCCAAGGACTGTAACCCTCATCTGAAACAGCTGCTCTAGGCTTTGTATTTCCCTGGAAGAAAAGTGAGTCCCACTGAATGGTAATGTAGCCTGTGGGCGTTTTTGATGTCCTTACAGGAGGCTTAGACAGGAGGAGCCAAGACTCAGAGATTACTTCCCAGCTGTGAAGTGCCTCCTCATTGCCTCCCCCAAGGTTACCTGGGACCCCTTCCTACTAATAGGTTTAGGACAATTTGTGTACTCACTTTTCATATTCTATGCAGTCTCTGTCTTTCTCTTTCTCTCTCTAGGTTTTAATGAAAGATATTGCCACTCCCATACCAGCAGAAGAGGTGAAAAAAGTGGTCAGAAAATGTCTTGAGAAAGCTGCCTTGATCAATTACACGAGACTCACAGAATACGCCAAAATAGAAGGTCAGTACAGTGAGCAATTGCTGAAGTGGCCGTGAGAGCCAACAGTGCCTATTAACTGCATTTTCTGTGAGAAGTCTTTTCCTTCCCTGAACAAACCTGTGCCATGGCAAAGGGAAATGTCTCATTAAAATCTCAGCTGGTGAACTGAAGAGCTTTTTCCTATTCATTGCTTTAATATGCCTCCTGGGACTCTGCTTGAATGAAAGACCCGGGATTCGTGCTTAAGTTGTCCTTTGTTCTTATTTTGAGTTTTGAAGAAACCAAAACGTGTTTTCATGGGTTGTATTTTTTGACATTACAGTGAGTGTGTCTAACATTTAAAGGATGGGCAGTGTATTCACTCTTGGTCTGTAACAGTGTACTGTTACATAATTTCATTTTCGGTTCTGTAGCATCTCTCAGAGAAAAGAGGAAACTTGTTGATTACGGTGAGGGCTGAAACAAACTATAGAATGTCCTTGCAACTTTTAATTGCTTACAATATATTGATGCATTTGAAAGATTAGATCTCTTGAGAGGATTGTGCATTTTTTTCTCTTTCTTCAGGTTTTATTCATTAAGGATAATTCATTTTCTTCATTAAGGTTTAAGATACTTAGAAATACATAGATTGAAATTTGTGGCAAAGTCACACAATCAGCTCTTATCTAACCGTCCTTTGACTGATATAATTAAAAGCAATAGAAATGACCTCAGATTCTCTAATTATCAGAAAACTACCTTGTGTAATACATGTAGCTTTAACTTAGGAAAGAAAAAGTTTATGGTGTTAAATAGTTATCTCTAAAAATAAAAAATAATTGTCCATTAGAAAAAAATTTAATAACTTCTAATATAAAAGTGTATTTAATGAATTATAAGTTTATTAATTAGTTGATATTATGATAGATTCATCAAAATTGGGATGGTGAAATAGATGATTATAATTGGCTGTGTTATATCCTTTTTTTCCTCCAAACCTGATCAGGCTTTCTAACGAGCACATGATAACCAACCTCCTGAGTGATTAACAAAAAAGCCATCCCGTCACTATAGCAACCAGTATTATATCACGAGAGTAACAACATGAGACCTCCTTAGTTACCAGTTTAACTTCATTAATTATGATATCATGTTGTGTTAAAGCAAAAGCGATTAATAGTAGATCATTTGGGGAAAGTAGAAACAGATTGGTTTTCACATTTTGAATACTCATCCAAACAATTTTCATGTTTTGGGAATATTGGGTTTTGTGAACATGGATTGAAAGAATTTATATAAAAATAGAGATATTAAAACTTTCAGGTTTGGCAAAGAGAAAAAACTTGTGGATAATCTGAGTAAACACAATATTGTTTTATCCAAATATTATGAACCCTGTACAAAAAACTTTGAGAATCCTTTTGGTCTTTACTATTTTAGTTAATATTTTTGACCATTACCTTATCCAACAATATTGAAAAAATATGCCGTATATTTTTTTATTTCTGTGTTTATTTTCTAGTTGTTTTAATATGGACAAATGAAAAAAATTTTTATACAGAGCCATGGGCTTCTTTCGTTAATCAGCTAAATAAACTCATTAACAATGTGATCAGAAAGAAATGGTTATTCTTCTGGATCACACACAAAAGCAAGTCTGTGTTAGAAAAAAGCCTAAAATAGGATCCAGTGGGGTGGGAGCAGGGAATTCTCCCACCTGTTCCTTTCTGGAGTCATCCCTCTCAGAACATTCTAGAAAAGGGATCTTAGAAATCTTGTCAGGTAGGACTGCTGAGCAGTCTCTTTTCAAAAAAAAAAAAAAAATGCATACTTATTAGATAAGGAAAACCTTTATGCTTTTCATTTTCTCCCTTTCCCCTCTCTTTTTGTATCTTCAAAAATAAAGAGTTTTGTTTCCTACTTAGGGTCAGACCAAGAACAAACTCAACTTTAAGTTAGAAATAGGAAGTGGGCTAATTTCTTTGCTTTTACATTATGGAGCGGGCGACATGGATAGATTTTGGTTTTCTCCTAAATTTTCTTCTCTTATGTTTTAGGCCCAGCAGAAAAGGAAACAGGTAATAAATGTTTGTGCATGCCTGTGCCGTTATTTTTAATGTGGTGGTGTTGTGTTTTGATATGGATGAATAGCTCTTTCCCTTTCAGAGGTCTTGTTTGATCACTTTGACTAAGATACTGAAAAGATTTTGACTTTTGTTGGAGCTATTGCTAATGCTTTGTAGGGAAAATACAGGCCATTTATCTCTGCAAAAGTTCAGTAATATTTTTTGATATGAGTTCAAAGCAATACATGTTAGGCTGTATTAATGTTATGCATCAGGTTTTAAGCATGTACACTAATCATATTTGGAGCTGTCGCCTATATTTGAAGGACTCTTACAAGTAGAAAAGAGGACCATCTTCCTTTCATCATTCCCGGAAGATAACCTGAGAGTAAAAACGTATAATGCTGTTAAATAAAAAGTAAGCTGCTCTTACCTTTGCAAGTTGTTCATCATAGCAGAGGTTGTAAAACTCCGTTCTCGAGAAATTGCTAGGAAAGAGTTCTTCTCCAGGTCTCTAAGGTTTTTTAAAGGTTTTGTTACTTTTGTATGTGTGCATACCACTTTTGCCTGTTGTAATTAATTTAATTACAGAGGCCATTGTGTGTTCATGCCATTCATCTCTGCTTCAGATTCTTGCAGGCAAGGTCTCTACTGAAATTGTTCACTGTTTTGTCTCCTACACCCAGCACTGTGCCCATGACACAAAGTAGATACTCACTACTTGGAGAGAGACAAAAGGGCCGTTAGTTAGTTCCACCTGAAAACAAAGGTGCTAGAGACAAGTGATGGACCTTTCTAATGCTAGTTTTCTCAGCTTAGTCAAATTGTGCATGCAGTCTTATAGACAAGTTTACTTGGGTTGTTTTTACCTGAAGTTTTCCATTAAAGACACTATTTCATTTTTGTTTTTTCCTACCTTCAATTCTCTCCCGGTATTTGACCTCAGAAAGTGTCAGGAACAAAACACTCAGAGCGAGGAAAAGGGGAAAGAACACACCTCCAATGGTTGCTGAAGTGCACTTTAGAAAAAAATGAATTCGAAAAGGAATATGAGACTCCCCTCCCCTCTCATGAGAGCCCATTGTGAGAGCCCCAGTCCCATGCTCTTTAGTAAACTTTTTCAAAACCTTTTAGAGCATTTTATCCCCCGCATTTCTGTTGCAAATAGTTTTTACGTAGTTTGCAGACAAGAAGTCCAGGGTTGTCAGTGGTTTTCCCATTTGCTGTAGAGTAAACAAGTCAGCCAGCTGGGACCAGAGTCAGGTGCCCTGATCCCCAACCTACAGTGGCTACGCTTCCGTGAAATGAGAAGGGTCACTGTTCACCTTGGCAAGGATGGAGCAGAGGCAGTTGCCCTCGTTGTGAAATTTGCTGTCCCCTGTCTACTCGCTTCCACCAGATAAAAGTCAGTCTTCCCTTTTCTTGTGTTTAACATCCCTGCCATTTCTCAGCTGTCTAGGCTGCAGACTCTGGGGAAAAGACTTTTTAAAAATCAAACGCTTGCATAGAAAAGAGAAAAAAAATCAGTATAGTCTCAGTAGTTTAAGTGAATGGAAGAGAAAGATACCCTCCACTCAAGACTGTTCTGAAGTAACAGAAGAGAGGTTTTTAAGAAATATAGTTATATTCTTCTAGTTGCATTGGGTTGCAAGTTAACAGGGTTGCTTATTAAATGTTCTTAGAGGTACTTTTAACAGTGAGTAAAAATGAGAGTATCAGTTGCATGTGGAGGAGCTTAAAGGCTTGATAAAACTTTGAAATAGTCCTCTCTTGAGCATTATAAATCATTATCCTCAGTCTGTCCAACGCAGAGAATAAAATTCATCCAGGGTTTGTCATCATTTTGTCATCTGTTGACCTGTTGCCCCAGGGGTTTTTCATTTATACTGCTTCAATCATTTCTTTTTTTTTTTCATTTATTTTTATTAGTTGGAGGCTAATTACTTTACATCATTGCAGTGGTTTTTGTCATACATTGAGATGAATTAGCCATGGATTTACATGTATTCCCCATCCCGGTCCCCCCTCCCACCTCCCTCTCCACCCGATCCCTCTGGGTCTTCCCAGTGCACCAGGCCCAATCATTTCTTAAACTGCTCTTCAGAATAAATATTTTACAGATCAGGCCACTGAGACTTTAGAAAAAGTCAGCAACTTGCATGAGGTCATGCTGCGATTAAAATTGAGCTGACCTGAGACTTGCACCCCTGTTCCTCAGTCACCAGAGCCCGCTCCACGCTCTTCCTGTGGCTTCCCTGCCTCGAGGGCGGTCTGATCCAAAGTCATGACGTTTTCTGACAAACCACTCACATGCATCACAAAAGCCAAGGGTTATTTGTAGAATCACTTTTTCCAAAAATAATATTTAATAAGAGGAAACAGTTACATGCTCGGCATTATTCTAAGCACTTTACATGGATCCATTTATCCTTTACAACCTCTCTTTACAGTAAATATTACTTTTGTTATTTCCTTTTAGAAAACAGAAGGAGAAGGGTAATTATCTGCGAGCTGGTCTCTGGTCACATAGCTAGTAAGTGGAAGATTAGAACCCACTGTCTACCTATTAAGCTATCTTCATATTTTCCCTGCACCTTCCTACCTCTCCATTCTGCACTCAGTTAAAATGGGCATTTGAAATGGAACAGTGCTGCCCATAGAGATACAATGAAAGCCATATCTGTAACTTAAAATTATTTGGTAGTTGTATTTAAGAGGTATTTTTAAAAGCAGTTAAATTAATTTTAAGATTATAGGTTATTAACCCAATATATCCAAATATTACCATTTAAAAATGTATTCAGTATACACAAATATTTTACATTCTTTTTTTCCTACAATGTTTCTGAAATCCAGTGGGCATTTTCCTCTTCCAGCACACCTACATGAGAAGTAGCTACTCATCCATATCCCAGTGACCAGTGGCTGCTGAACTGGACAGCACAGGTCTCTGGTGGAAGGCTAAGAGGACTCCAGAAACTA